GGATTCAAGGAGATCTCGACAAGCGCAGTCCAAACCCATCATCAAAAAAAAAAAAAAAAAAAAAAAATCACCCGGTTTTAGGCTCTCCTGATTTACAGTTGGACCACTGGTGTTCCAACCGGCCAGGTTGGGTCCGGTCCGGTCCAACTGGCCGCTGGCCGGTGCAGCCCTGCGAAAGGGTATATTTCAGATCTCAATAGGCCTTCAGCCATTCTGTAAAATCATGCTGTCAGAAAAGCGTCCTCGAAGTAACCAGCCAAACTGCAACCGACATGATAGGATCTTGTTCCAGTAAAGGTACCAACTCCCAACCGCTCCCCACACATCTACAGATCAGACAAAACCATCCTTCATCACAGCAGCTCAGAATGCCAACAGTGGCTGTGATAGAGCTCACCTGGCAGGGAGATCATAGCCACCTGTTATTTTCGCTTCTCCTGTTCGACACCCACCCTGCATGGAACAATTATCATCATAGGCTCAGAAGCCGATAGATTCATCTTCTAATCGAGAGAGAGACAGGGAGGAGAGAGACCGCAAGCGAGAAAAGAAAGAGAAAAGTAAAAACAGGCACAATTACAAGTCTTTATCGAATGAGCAATCCCCTCAGAGATGAGGATGCCCAATGCTGCATAGGCTTTGCCGTATGAGCAATTCCCTCAGAGCTGGAGCATGTTGCATACAGGACATGAACCGAGAGGATGTGGCAGGTGATCGCATATGGGAAAGTCCATGCAGTACAGGTACATACTTTCCATGACAGCTTCCTGGAAACAGTGTGACAAATAGCACGTTGCTGACATGACAGCAGGGAGGCAGGCTAACTCACAGTTATTTAAGCATCGCATGTCAAGGCCACAAGAGGATATCGGTCAAGCCAACGTGTCACAGTTTTCGCAGCAGGGGCTGGCGGTGGCCATCCATTCATAGTGTCCGGAGCAGAGATTGTGTCGTGCTCATGTACCTGTGTGCTGCCAAAATGGCATGGCAAAGCCGCCGTCCTCCAGCGGGGCCTCTCATTATCTGCAGCCGAATCTCCTGAGGGGTAAGGAACATTCCCTGGCCATGTTCATGGGAGGGGGCAGGGTCAGCCGGATTGTTCTCCAGAGGCTGCAGAGCTCGCAAGTGCAATATCCACATACAGTTGCTAATGGCCAGCCAAACCGAGTGGGATTCTAACACTCGGTCATAGTAAGAGATAATATGTCCCACTGCGTGGGCCCGAACGCGTCCATGAATTATCCACAAAGGTAACAGCACTGGAATCACCCGGGCGATGCAGGATGTACGCTCGGATATTGGGGCCCATGTCAGGCATATAATTCTGTGGAGCGAGATGGAGTTGCAATCTCACAGTACAGTCATCCTCTGGGCAGACAGCACCATCATCCTCGTATATTCAGCAGACATGTAAGCAAAATCAACAGCCGTATAGTGTTGCAATTCTGAGCGAGGAGACAGACATTTATGGCATACACACCGTGACCTTGCTATAGAACTACAAGATGATTTGATTCTGCAATTGTACGGTAGTGGGGAGGTTCATTTTGCTCGTAACAGTCTCTGTCAGGCTCCTCTGGCAGTATTCACTCCATTGCCTCTAGCATGCATCCCCGAGAGAGATCAGAAAGTGGATCATTGTCAGGTGAGAGATCAGAGGCTGTATTAACTCCATTTGCTCAATCAAATGACCAGAGGGTGAGTCATTGTCAGGTGGAGTGGGGGAGCAATCGGGGCGAGGTGCATTCGAAGTCGAGGGTAAGATACACGAAGCAGAAGCTCATCACCGCACTTGCACTCAGAGTGGCTCCTAGTTGTGCCAATGTCGCACAGGTGGCTGCACCTCCTGTCCATTTCACACACAGGCCTGCAGCAATGTAAAAATCATTGCCTCATTCTGGACACCGGACTTGGTATGCACTATTCCTGTGTCTTGTGTATTGGGAGCGAGTCTGTCGTTCTGTACAGTTGCTAGCATGCGATCGGAGTAGACCTCTGACCACCGCTAAGGGGGCGATGATCATGCTGCTCACGTACAAATAGGCCATGTCTAGGAGGTGGCGGTGCAGATGGGGAACATATCTGCCGAAGAGGCATCTGTGACCACTGATCTGACCATGAATTTTTTGTGTGGGCTCGAGATGGTTCCCTCTCATGGCAACATCGATGACTTTGCTATATGCTGGAAAACCTTGGAGACTACAGCAGGTTCGTCATAGTTTACAGTGATGACTCACTCAAAGGGGAAGGAGCCTCAGAGACTACAAGTGAAGCAACTTTTCAGCGTGAGCCACCTCGGCCCCATGCTCTATGGCTCGCAAGAGCGCACTGCCAGGGGAGGTGAAGATATAGGCGAAGATGTAGTCCGTAACATGGAGAAAGGTATCACATCTTCACTGTCGGTCTTAGATGCAGATTCTTACATTTTGCCGGCGCTTAAAATTCTCTCCTACCACGGGACTATTTGCTGGGAACCCCTATGAATCTTGGTCATCCGAATTCTTCAATTTGGTGAGGATGAGGAGGAGCGCAGTTGACAGAGAGGATGATGTCGTTGAAGATATAGTGGCAATGGTGGTGGTGGTGGTGGTGGTGGTGGCACACTTTCAGCACATCTGCATTGGTGGGCTGCAAGGCTATCATCTCGTGCAGCCACTTCGACAACATTTATGTTGTTTGCTACAGCTGGCGCCGGATTGAAGCATCCACATTAACAGCGCCATTCCAGTAGTAATACCAGGGGAGGTCGTGCCCACTGCATGTGGCTGTGTGGAGGGATGATACTACCTGTACTCAGAATTGGCATGAAGCTGTGTGGAGGGATGCTGCTGCCTGTACTCAGAATTGGCATTCACGTGTGGGTGGAGGCTCAATGCATCTGGCCGTGTGGAGGGCCGATAATGCCTGGGCTCAGAGTTGGCATTCCGCAGTGCGTGAGACCAGCGCTCCATGCAATGAAAACAATTTGGAAGCTGGATGACATGAGTGGGTAGGCAACACTGCTGGCCACACAGATGAGCAGTCCAACCTCTGGTCAAGCGACTGGGGGGATGGCCCCTGACGAGGAAGTCACTGCAGCTTTCAAGTCAGTAGTATCGTTGTCGGGACAGAAACCCCTGAGAGGGTTCCTGCCCGAGTTTTTTCAAGGACAGACACTGTCCAGCTCTTTTTTGTTGGATTGGGAGACTTGATGAAAATGACGTTGCCTAAGTTTATTCAGAACCCCATGACTGAGAGACTTAAATTATTTTAGGGCCTGACGTCGTTGACGTCCGATCGAAACAGTGGGAGTCGGCAGTATTGCCTGTCGTCCACGGTTCCCGATAAGGCCGCAGGGGCATGCGATCGGTGGGAGCATTAGTCTATTCTTATACTATCTAAAGGAGTGTGGCGCGCGGCATAAGTCGTAGCTGCGCTGATTTTTTTATGCCACGCTGTGTATACGGCGGCGGCATGCGTGCCGTGCCGCTAGATGGTCGCCGTGCCGATGGCAGTGCGGCTGGTCGACGACGGGGAAACGGTAGGTAAAGCCTGCTAAGGCTTTTTGGGGCGGCCTGCTGGCGCCAGCTCTTCATACAGAAGAACTGCTGGTCTAGCTACCGTAGTACGAGCTAGCCCAGTAGGTACGACAACAGACTTTCACTCAGCAGGCGCTGGGATCGAGCCCGACGACGATATCACCGGGCTAGCTCCTTTTGGAGCTGCCCCAGGTAACTGCAATCAGACTTTCACTCAGCAGGTTGCGCAGCAAACTGGCATCAAGCGCCCACTCAGAACTCAGAGATACAGTACCAAGAACTCGGTTCAGATACAAGTCCACTTCAAACGGCTATGGCGGCACATCGCCTGTACAACTCTTTGTTCGTCACTTACTCGACACTGTTGTTCGCACACAGGATCACCCTGGATATCCCACACACATCACACTCTGTACACTCACACACACCCGCACACATCTACAGCTATGGCGGCTATGGCCGCTGCTACCCTATCGCTATGGCTAAGTTTCCTTCTCGCCCACTTCGTCTCCGGGCTCACTGCAGACCACCTCGCACAAGTCGCTATGGCAGCGCTTCCGCATGGCTTACGCAGGAATGAATGAATGGCTGGGCGCTGCCTCTTGATTTATACTTTTGTAACTCGCTGGTCTGCCCTTTTCCATCGGCCCATGGTGCACACAATCCGTTATGGTACTTGCTGGACTGGACTGGGACTGACTGGACCGGTACCGCTGACTGCATGGGTTTGCACCGCAGACTCACTGCAGTCGCACTGCCAATGTACTGAGGTTGGCTCCACCACTTGCCCACTTGCCTCTGCCTAAACGTGAGCCCACTTCGAAAGGCCACTTCCGGGACCATCCAGAAGTCTGTAGACTTGGCCTTTCGGGTACTGTAGCAACTACGACCTTGACCTCTCAGGAGTGTAGCAGCTACGACCTTGACCTTTCAAGATTCCTGCAGCTACGACCTCTACAGGGCTGTGACTCCTACTCGACAGACCTACAGATCAAACCCCTACCACTACACAGACCTACGACAGACAACAACAACTGTCAAAACACAGGTCACGGGTTCAAACACTCGGGGTCGACACAGATACTGTACACAGGTAAGGCGAGAACCAAGGATCGAGCCCTGGGATCTGCATTCGCTACTGCTAAAAAGGTGAAAACCATTTCACTCCCGCCGGCCTAAATTCAAGGTCCTCCGAGAATAACTCAGTCCAAGGCAGGACCTTTACCTTTCTTATCTCTCTCGGAGCCTCTAACTACATCGGGAGCTGTTTCTAGAAGTTATGTTCTAGTAAACCAGCGATCGTCCTCTGGTTTTGATAAGCAAACCGAACCTTGTATTGCTTCTGTGGACGACCTCTACCTCCTGTTCTAAACACGTCTTCACCTACAATGCCGTCAATGTCGTACCTTCCATCCATGTCTGGAGGAATCATGGATCTTCTAGATGGAAACTGTTGGCTTGTGACACACGGCAACAACTTTGAGGCATGAAACATAGGGTAGGTGTGGAGGTGTGTTGGGATCTCTACTGTGTAGGATGGCCTATCCTCTCCGCCCTTAACTTCCAGAACTGGTCACGGTCCTCTATACGTGGGCAGTAACTTTTGCGAGATGTTTTCCTCAGGAGCAAACTCTTTGGACTTGACCTAGACCAGGTCGCCTACTTGAAACTGTGATGGGTGACACGATGCTTATTAGCTTGTTCTATCATTCGGTGTTGGGCTTTCCTGAGGTTCTCTACCACGGTAGCTAACTCTTTCTCGTGCTGTAACGCAAACTCCCTAGTACCGGGCGGTAGCCTATGAATCTGGTCCCGGTCGCACTCAAATCTATGTGGTCTAAAGGACTTGCGTAACTCGTTGGGAGTGCGACAGGTAGACAAGTGCACGCTGTTATTGTACGCACTGACTACTTTGGGCAACATCTCATCCCAATT